CAGGGTTGGCAACAAGAAGCTATTAGGATAACTCTTCTTCTGTTAACATTCCAATTAATCAAAGATGAAACCAAACTCCCACAGGGATCATTAAGGGCCAGCACCTGTTCTCCTGATACTGTAAGGCTGTGGAATAAACAGCTCCATGTATGGTGGGACCTCTGGGAGACACATAATCACTGCAAATCACTTATACACCAGCCAACTATCAGATAATATAGAAATATAAGCTCATTCGGATGTGCATGCCAAAAACTGAGCTTATTTCACAAGCAGAACTATTCAACAATACCTTTTCATTTGCACGAGCAGGAGTTCTTTACATTTCATAACATGTGCAGCGCAGCCATATTAAAATACATGTTAATGATGTTATTCACAAACCTGTACTTCTTAAATGAAGTGATGAGGCAGACCGTTATTAAGCTCGTATTATTAAATAGGACATATAATGATATTGTTGTCTTTAAAAGATAAAGCTTTTAAAGTAAATCTAAGTACATTGGCTATAATATACACATCAAAACAGGAAGTTGGCCTTAGGCCTGACCGTCGCTCCGCCTCCATGTCCACACCAAACCCCATGCCAGGTCACATTTCACACACTGGGATCCAATTTCAGCCATATTTCTTTTCAAGTAATTACATAGCTCTTGGCAAGGCCTCACAATTAAGCAAATGATTATATTTTGATATCCATAATTATACGCATTCACATAAGGTCCCCTTTCAAGTGAAATGTGCTTTTTATTACACGCCTATCACCCATGATGAGATTATGCACAGTGTGGGTTTGGATCAAGTTAGAGTACATTTAATCGAATAAGAGCAGCAGTAATGGAAGCATGCTGGACCCAGGATTACACTGCACGACCGGCTTCCCTTTGAGCTCAGCTTATGTTTAGCAAATTTCAGACAATGAGAACGTTATGAGGGGGGGAACTCTGCGGCCTTTGACCCCTGCCCACCAGTGGGTCAAGCACATGACGCGTTAGATTGCCTCCATATCAGCAATGAGGTGCACCGCACATACTTGTAGCCTGAGGAGAGTGTTTAAATGATTTATCTCTCACAAAACTGGTTCTAATAGATAGTGATCATCGGTCGTCCTGTAGAACTTCTACAGTGAAACCAAGAAATGTGCAGAGATGACACCGAATTCCATCACTTTCATTGAAAACAGTCACATTGGGAATATTGTCTGCAGACGTCACTAAATGTGTTCAGTCTGACAGAGGAAATGTTGGTTCTCCCTTGAAACATGGTCACAGTTAATGAAGCTGTGCTGTGTGGGTCTTGGCTGCTCCCATGTGGCACGACAAAGACTAGCAGTTGCAAGTACTGTATGTCCTTACTGTCTAAGATGGCCTGCCATTAAAACTATTCTACATCACATGAGACTCCAACTTCAAAATCAAATGTGTTCCTTTTTTAACTTTCTAATTATATATTTTGTGCTGGATATGTATATGTAGTATTTTCTTAAAGAAACAGATGAGTTGTATGTATGGTGAGATAAATACGCCCCTTATATACCAACAATACATATAGATGCATAACAAAGAGCAAAGGTAAGAGGAACCATAAACAGTTTATCTTATCATGTGTAGATTGTGTTGATATGTAGTCTATTTGGGAGTATTTGTAACTGTGTTTTGAAAAACCCTATGCAAAAAGCTGTTTATTGATATTATTATTATAGATTGCGTTGCTATGATTATTATCAGTAATATGTATCATTATTGTTGTTAATATAGAGAACTGACATTGTGTCTTGTGTGTCAGGGTGAGAGAGTGACAGAAAACTGCATTTCCAACAACCATACAACCACAGGCTGAATCATACATTGAAGATATTTCTCTTGGTGTAATAATAAAGGAGAACTTCGGGTTTTTTCAATCTGGTCCTTATTTCCAGCATATGGTGTGTAGATCTACTCACCCATAAAGGTTTGGAGTAACTTGGAGTCCTTCGGAGCGTTTAGATCCACACGCGATTGGCGTATATCCATACAACGCAAGGGTTCGGGGCATCCACAATATAGCCTTTAAATAACGCATTATCTGCCGCAAAGCTCTTTATTTATGAATCGCCAGCAGGAGTCCCCTATGAGTCTCGCCAGCCTTGGAGCTAGCATTAGCTTAGCGAACCGAGAGCGAGTTGTCTTCTGTGTTTAATCGACAAATCGGTTCGCTAAGCTAAGGCTAGCTCCGAGGCTGCTCATTAGCCCGCTGAAGTTAGCTAGCCTTTAACCGGGTGAATACGGCCGAGCACCGGGACACAGCTGCTTTAAAAGAACACTGTACTGTAAAGCACCTGACACGTATTCTGCCATGTTGCGCGAAAGCGCGAAACAAGCAGCCGCAAACTCCGCGTAAACAAATACAGCTGATCGTCAGCTGTCCTGCGGCTGCGCGCCTCGGTGACGTCACCCCAGTGAAAGCCCAGGATGTAAACAAAGCAACATGGACTCACAGGGGACTGGATGCCCCAGTCACTTGCGTTGTATGGATATACGCCGATCGCGCGTGGATCTAAAAGCGTCCGAAGGACTCCAAGTTACTCCAAACCTTTACGGGTGAGTAGATCTACACACCATATGCTGGAAATAAGGACCAGGTTGAAAAAAAACGAACTTCTCCTTTAATTACCTGAACATCCTCAATCTAACCATGGCAAAAAAACAAATAATGACATACGAGGAAAAGAGATCCCTTATCAGGAGAGATGCAATGACACGTCATAGCAATAACTTTATTTATTATAATACAAACTTTATTATTTATTTAGAATTTAAAAATTATTATTATTATTAGTAGTAGTAGTAGTAGTCATAGTATTAGTAGTGGTTGTAGTAGAAGAAGTAGTAGTAGTTGCAGTAGTAGTATATGCCTTCTTATATTAATTTAATATGTATAAAATGATTGGACACAGTTTTTAACTGATGCACCAGAGTTTAGTCTACTGGGTGCATGGTCATTTCTTACACAGTCAGTATGAATGCATTAGTTTTAGATGAGAGAGTAGTAACACATTTCGATCACCAGGGGTCAGCAAAGCTTATCATTTAAACTAGAGGCCTGTTACACAACTGTACATTTCATAAAGATAAGACAATCAAAGATGTCTCTGCTTCACAAGGAAGTTTCATCCTGGTGATCGAAGCCTCTATACAGGATTAAAACGGACTAATGAGCCGTATCTATATGTATATATTCACTTCCTCTGTCATTTGAACGTGATACTGCAGTATTCCCTCAAGAGGAGGTAGAAAATATAGTTTTTTTCCGGGTGAAGTGATTTTCCAGAGGTTGTGTGCTTGTTTGAAAAGCCTTTGAAAACCAGTGAGCTGCAGATTAGCTCCAGAACAACACCACAGGAAAGGACGTGCAGCCTTCACAATAAAAGCTGCACTCGTTTTCAGTCAAGTGTGGTTATGCAAAATGTTACATATCAAGAGTGATTTGTTTCAACAGGAAAAACGCTCAGAAAATACAAAAGAGGCAACAAAATAGATCATTCACTGCGTTCCTTAAAAATAATTAACCATAGATAACCAGCTAATATCACCCTTAAGAAATGCAATATATTGCTGCATGGATGTGTAAAGGCCTTCGACCATGCTATACTGTATTTGTACATAGTATTTTGAGATTCTGGTGTCTAGATTATTATTTGGGACCTCAGGACTGCGTTTGTTAACGTCCACCAAGGAGGTTTTGTTTTTGTTTGTTTGTTTGTTTGTTTGAATGCATGGATTACACAAAAAGTACTTCACCTGCTTTCCTGATTATTTTTGTAGAGGGGTGATCCAAGGAAGAAACCATGAAATTGTGTTGCAGATCTAGATCAAGGGGCGAATCTGGGATATTTTTTCATTATGTATCAGATTTTTCAACATTTCCCTTTCATTTCTTTAGAGAATATATGATGGATCTTGGTGAAATTAAATGAACATGTTGAGGGGACTTATCTTTACCAGTGTGTGCAAGTTGGTGCAGATTCAAATAAACAGATGGAGCTAGTGAATTAAAATGTGGTTTCATAAGTGAATTGTTGGAGCTTGGTGGAAATATGCAACATGCCTGTTTTAGCTTCTGTGCTTGTTTGAAATTTCTGAACAGAACTACAATTGGACAATGAGACAGTTACTGGATTTCCAAAAAAGTATTGATGACATTATCAGTTTAAATGTTTATGTTCTGACCCCCTACAGTGTTATCTTGATTTGGGTTAATAATTCAACTGGGTCCAAAAGGAGGAGCACATGACAGCCATTCTTCGACTGATACTTGTTAATGACCACTAAATGGTTTCGACCCATTCTACACCTCAGAGCTCCCTTACAAAATTGATATCATCTGACCAGAGACTTCTGTCTGTCCCAAGATCAAGAACAAAGTGTTTTGGGGACAGTACCTTCTCCATCGCTGCTCTTTAACTCTCACACTCTCTCCCTCCCATCATCCGATTCTCCCCCTCGATAGAATTTCTCAAAACACATTTTTATTAATCCCCTTTCATTGTGCTTAAATTGCTGAATTGTTGTTATTATTGTCTCACGCACAAATGTTAATCTATACATACCTGGTCTTTATTTCTAAACATGTATATCTTCTATTTCTTTTAGCCTTACTTGATTTTTATATTGCTATGTTTATACCTGCTTTTGCTCTTTCACCTCTTTCTCAGGGGCTCAGTAACCTTTGAATTTCCATATGGAGATTAATAAAGTACTTCTGATTCTGATTATCGCTGTTATTGATGATGGTAGTAATGATATAAAGTGAAATATGAATCAAGTTGATTATGCAAGATACAAATTCAACGTCATGTCATAGAAAATGTTTTCTTTATTCTTCACTCTTTTATTCTGAAGAGGGGAAGCGGATGTCCTGTGACAGAGTTGCCGGTGGTGGCGGTGGTGGCGGAGGGAGAAGCCGGTGGACGAGCAGCGGCAGCAGCAGCGGTGTCATCGGCGGAGGAGGCGGAGGAGGAGGAGGAGGCGGCGGCGGAGGAGGAGGAGCAGCTCCTGAAACAAACAGGAAGCAGCACCGCTCCTCTCCACCTGTGGGGCCGAGTCCTGAACACACACACCGAGGGAGAGCCCAGCTGAGCCTCCTCACACACACACACACACACATACTCACAGGACCTGTGAATAACTTCCAGCTCCTCTCCCGGCGCCTCCTTCACCGACCTCCTGCCGGAGACAGACTCAAGGTAAGTCCGCAGTTTTCCAACCTTCCTCTCCCGCACCTCTCACCTGTCCAGTCCCGCAACAAACCGCGTGTAGTTTCGCGTCGCTCAGGATGTCCGTTAAAAATAAAAACACGTAACCCTCCTCCTCAGAGAACATCTTCAGAAACTTCAGTGAATCCAAAGCATCCGCACTTCATTCAACCAGTAAAGTAGTCCCCCAGCCTCGATGAGAGGAAACATGGCTGGATTTGTGTTTTTTACCCCAGTTTATTGCGTTTAAGCTCAAACAGAGGTTACCTACAGGGAGGGTGGGGAATCTGAGAGAAGATTTCTGATTTTAATTTCCGATTTTCTCAAAATCCAGTGTTTGTCCTGGGTTTAAACAAAAACCTGTGACACATCCTGATGTTGTGCAGTTGTGTTACAGATCCAGTGTTTGTTGAATTCAGCCTCGAAGCGAGACAACAACAAACTCACTGGTTTTCTCAGCAGAGTGTGAATGTGGCATTCCTCTCTGATTACAGCCCCGTTGTTTTTTTCAAAAGTGTCTCTCCTTTTCTCTTTCTGTCCACAGGGACAGAAGCTGATTCAACCCTTTGAGTTTGAACTGATTTGTAGTTTGTATTCCACAACATGCAAGGTTCTGTAATTTTACTTTGTATGTCTTGTTAAAAGTTGACACCACATACTCTCGTTTTGGTATCGAGATCCTTGATCCCTGGTTCCCACTGGTCCACACACACACACACACACAGTGTTTCTTTTATTGTTGAGAAATAGACAGACGCCAGAGAGAAAAAGAGGATGTGAAACTTTGGAGGTGATTCATGTGCTCAGCTTTTCTGTCATATTCACATCAACCCTTTGGAAATGTCAGAGGCTCAGTAGAGAGTGTTTGGTTTGGTTATATCCCTGATGTAGTGGGACCCGGCTATCTATTGAGGAAATCTTTCTAAATCCACAGTGCCAACTAAATCCTTAATTGTTCAGGCACAATATCCATCGTGCTGATTGTTAATGTGCTGAGTGAGCTTGAAATCATTCATACCTGTATGATGCAGCTTTGAGTGCAGGTGTGTATGCAACATTTGGTACATCATTTCTCCAGAGGACAGTATGTACGTTATCACAGGGTGTATATCAATGCGCAGCTTTATGGTCATATTGAAATTATTAATGCGATCATAGAAAAAAATAGAAATTCATTCTGACATTTCAACTAAATCCAACTCTCAGTTTTATGTCTAGAAGATTCAATCACAGTATCAGATTACATAAACAGCAGCATTACAGAGCATTTCATCCTATTGCCCACTCTTATCTTACAGCCTTAGGCACATGTTCCTCATGGTCAAATGAGTATTTTTCTGTCATGAGAGACTCAAGCTGACATTTCATGTTTTCTTTCTATAAGAATAGATAAGTGTTCAGTTTTTCCAGAGGTTTGTCACTAAAAGAATCTGAATTCCCACTGTGCTTCCCCTCACAGTTAATGATCACTTGAATCTTTGCAGAGAATCTTAGGGCCACGCATTACTCATGTCACAGAGCCACATTTTACAAAGGAGGATAATTATTTACCAAGAGAATTAACCAATATTTGCTACTATTTAAGTTTTGCGTGGTGTCACCAGCAGTCCTGGAAACCCCTCCGCGTTGGGTGGGGTGTGGTGTCAGGCCTCCTCTGAGGTAAAGTTAGAAAACACTGATAAGGCTAACTGACGTCACTCTGCAGACATCAGCCAACAATACAGCTATTTATTCCAAGCCAGAATTTTTCCCAAAGCCCTGGCCTCTCCTGAGAAGCTGATCACAAGTGCTCCCCCTGAAACAAAAGGAGACAAAAAGGTTTTGCAACATTGGTTACGTCCATGTCCTACATCACAGACATGTTGTATGGTGATGTTATTTTCTGCCTAGGGCTTCTTAGAAGTTTTGTGGTTTAGGATTCAGTTACCTGAATGTTGTTGTGTGTTTGGAGCTGAGGAGGGGGCAGAGAAAGGTGGACATCTTCAGCTGGACCAAAGTATAGCGTGGTGTAACTCTGAGGTTAAGATAAGAGCAAGGAGCCATGTGGCTAACACAGCCAGCTTCACTTTACACGCTAGCAGAATGTTTGGTGTCTCATATGAAAAGATAACAATTTATTGATGGAGAATTTTGCAGTGAGCATATCAAAACATCAAGGTGTAACTGCATATTGCAGTGTCGGTAAACCAAACAGCACTGTCAAGTATTTAGATAAGAATATTTCTTCATTGTTTTGGCTTCGTTCCACCATGTGTGAGTTCAAATCACCAGGAGGAGAAAATACTGACTTTCAAAACAGACAGTGTTTCCATCCATACTGGGTGAAGAGTGTGGGAAAAGCTCTTAGACACCGACTACATTTTTATGAACAGCAATATTACGACTATTGACCTTATTCTGAAAAGACATTATTTGGATGATGATGATGTTTATTGGCATGAGTTGCTAATTGAATATTCCATTCATATTCCCCGTTTGCATGTTATTTATTATAGTCTGATTATGACAAATGTCAACATTACTTATTTGCACATGATGTGTCGTCAAGCAGTTGGTAACAGATGTATGTCAATGTCACAAAATGCTGTGAAAACTCCCAATGAAGACGTATACATACTCTACGTGTCTTAATTTGATTATTGCTTAATAACTTGCATCCAGTCTGACTCTCCAATCAGGATCATCAATCGAGAATACATTCACTGTGTTAAAAGCAGACCAGCACATCGCTCAGGGCAGCTGACCTCACCAGCATCATTCATATGTTGATTCAGTGAAGCGATTGTTAATCGATTTGTGATAACTTCGTTAAGTAAGCTTTGAAATTGTTGAGAACTTTGAAAAACTCCTGGGACCGGTTTGGTTTGGCAAATTCCACTCTCACACTTTTTTGATCCATTTCTGTTTAGAAGAACAGGGGTGCTGTTTTGGACATGTCTTTGTTACTCTAGTTGTGTGTATGTGGGTATTAATACATCTTGACGGCAAGATCCTGACATGTATGTTCTTACCTCAGAGAGTCTGTCTCACTGATTTCCTGCTTTGCTTGAATATTGAGACTAGTACAACTGAAGCACCAGATAAAAAGCTTTTCTCATACACATTAATATAAAAGGCCCACATATTTTTTTCAAGATAGCCACTCTCCAACCAAAATTGTTATTGTCTGAATACCTGGAGTGTGCTGCTGCTCTCCCCATCCCCATTATCTTCCTCCTCTCGCTCTCTCTCCCCCCTGTATCTCCCTCCACCCTCACTCATTCACGCCTCTGCACCAGTCCTCATTATAGTGAAAGGCTTGTGTAACATCCTCTCAAATTTTCTTTTTCCTTCTTTTTCATCTGTGTGTGTGTGAACAAACTGGCTTTCACAATGTCTGCTAGCTTGCACAATCACGCTCATCTTTTCCAAGCCACACAATCTCATCCTCTTTGACTGACCAAGCAAAATGGAGTGTTCAGCATTCACTTTAACTAAGTGCAATTTGCACCGTACTACCTTTTACAACACTATACATAAAAATGGAATTTGCTATAGCAAGAAATGTCCGTGCCTGTGAAAGCAGAGCAGCCTTTTTGAATTCTCGACTTTGCTACACAGCATGCCGGGACCTGCCAAGGAATGCAGGGAAGACAGCAGGAGAGGGAACAGAGGGAGATGTACTGAACAGAGAGAGAAATGTCTGAGAAGCCACAGCGGGGGATACATGAGAGATGGATCTAAAATGACATATTCTTTACAGAGAGTGATTTAAAGAAGTCTACAAAAGAACATCATGAATTAAAACGCTCCTTAAATGCATTCGCAGCACACAATGAAATAAGTCAAATAGACCCAGTTCAGATTCGTAACCCATTTAATCATATTTACTCTAAAGTTTAAATGCCGCAACCAAGCTGGGGCTTCACAGCATCCCTCAGCTCACCTTCCATTCACATGAATGAATCTTCTTCTTGTTCTGCAAACATACTCTCACGTTCTTAAGTCAGACAAATTGTGTAAACAGAATTTGTAGTTACCACTGAAACACCATAAATGTGGTTAATGAAACTTGAAAAATATATGAGGGGAGGATGTTGAGATGGCACTAACATCATTAAACCATAAATATGACTATATTGACGTATAACTGAATAATAATATTAATGAAGGTGTCATATTAAACTGTCTTTGGTTGAAAATACTGAACCCTGAATTGACCTTTATGGTTATGATGGATTGGGGATGGGCGAATGGCATCTGGTGTAAAGCAGTCAGTGGTCTATTGGACTGAAAAAGTACAATATAAACACAGTCCATATTTACTATATTTTCCATTTTGTGTTGGACACCCTCACCTCGAATGAAAATGAATAACTACAGTATGTTTACATATTATAACCTTAAGCCGTAGATGATCATTTAAAATTGATGAAGCAGGCCAATTAATTTCATTAGACAGACCCACCTGCTGCTCGCTGCAGCTCTCTGTCATCTGAGCTGTCCAGCTTCTCTTTTACTCGCTGAGCTGGTCTGAATCCTTCTCCATGTACTGCAGCTTAACATCTCATATCTTTGTCAATTAAATTCACCAGCAGATTTGGGATGCGCAGCCATCTTCCTGTTACGGCAGAGCAGGTGAAGCGTTCGAGTCAACAAAATACTTTGGGAGTGTCAGAGTGAAACAGCATTGCAGCCAAATCCAATACAATTGAAGTAAACGGTGACCATTTCTTCAAACATCCGAAATGTCCGCTGTGATCCATGCCCGAACTTGACACCACAGGAGCAGTATGGAAGCATGTTATGTTTTTCTTCTGTTGTTTTTTACGTTTGAAGAATTGGTCACCATTTACTTTAATTGTATTGGATTAGCTGCAACACTGTTCACCTCTCAAACTCCAAAAGTGTTTTGTGGACTCCAACTCTTCACCCACCCCTCCATCGGCATAGTGGTGAGTAGATAATGAGGGAATTTTCATTTCTGGGTGAACTGTCCCTTTAAAGCGTCA